TCCTGGAAAATTATCGAGAAAAGTGTTGCTTTTTCACGACAATGCACGGCCTCATTCAGCAAAAAAAACACAAACCTTACTGGAAAAATTCAAATGGGAAATTTTTGATCACCCACCCTACTCTCCAGATCTCGCACCAAGTGACTTTTTTCTTTTTCCTAAGTTAAAGGAAAGTTTGGGTGGCCATCACTTCAATTCAAATGATGAAGTGAAAGACTTTGTTAAATTATTCTTTAAAAAACAGGGCACGGATTTTTATAAACAAGGTTTGTCAAAGCTTCAGAACAGATATAAAAAATGTATTCAAGTCCAAGGGGACTATGTAGAAAAATAGTTTATAAGTCAAACAATAAATACATATGTTACTTTAACCTAAAAATTGTGTTTTGCTTTTTTCCCGGAGCAGGGAAACTTACTTTTTGAACACCCCTCGTATTATTCGGAAGGCTTGAAAAAATTGGAGAATCGTTGGATCAAGTATCGAGCTGGAAGGAGACTATGTTGAGAAATAAAAATAAATCAATTTAAAAAAATGTGTTTACTATGTTTTTCTAAAAACTTATTAACTTACCCTCGTAAATTAAAGCTGAATTACTCCCAAATATCTATTTGTTCATCCCGGTCCCACCGGCTTTCTGCGCGTACCATTTGCTTATTGGCAATATTAATAAATCCTTTACTTTAATATAATAACAAAGTACACCCCGGAAAAAAATGGATTACAAAGTGAATTTAAGAAGTATTATAAAAAGCAAATTAGAAAAAATGAATTAGAAAATGAATCTATTTATTATACTTACTGAGGGAATGATCTGTACCTCTATCTCGTTCTGCAACTGTAGTCTGATCTGTGGTTCATTATCAACCATACTTGAAATATAAAATTAAAAAACGTTAGAAAAACATAAATTCGTTAAAAATTTGATATTAATAAAAAATGAAAAAAACCTACTTACTCCTTCGACAGGATACTCATATTGTATTTCAACTAAATCTCTCAGGTTGCTCATAATGGTGTTGATATTGAAGATTATAAAAGACAAAAAGTTATTGATAAGTTTTTTTCTTAAAAAATTATATTGTTATAACTATCACTTTCACTGATACTTCACCACATAAGTGTGCAAAAGTATCACCTAATGGTAAAATACCCTTGCACGATTATAAAAAACACTCAAGGTGAGTGCAAACAGTCGAAATGACAAACGAATACTTCGCGCGGATGAAACTCGGCAAAGACTGACGCTGAAAAGCATCCTTTGCTGCGGCGAAGCTGCTCCAAGATATTAGTTACGGGCAATCATTGTATACATAGGCTGCTGGAAAAGTTTCTGCAATCTAGTACTTCCAGTGGCGCCAATATTCTGCTACTATCATATCCGTAAAATTAGACGTTTTTAACCTATAATTCAATTGACAGTTTGTATCCAAGCCAACTAGTTTTGTTTGCATAGTATTTTAAAAGAAGTTATTTTGTAAGAAAATGGAAATTTCGCGTGAAAATTTTCGGGCAATGATTTTTTACAATTACAAATGTAATCTAACTCCGAAAAAATGCATCGATCGACTTCATTTGGCTTTTGGGGATGAAGCACCATCCAATAGGACTGTTTATAATTGGTTTGCCGAATTCCAGCGTGGACGTACCTTTCTTAATGATGAATTCCGTGAAGGTCATCCATCCACATCTGTTGTTGCCATTAATGTTGATGCTGTGCGTGAAATGATTGAGCGAGACCGGCATATAACATACCGCGAGATTCAAACATTCTTAGGCATTGACATGAAAGCAATACATACGATTTTGCATGATCACTTGAGCGTACGGAAACTTTGCAGTCGTTGGATCCCACACAATTTGATCGAAAACAGGTTTGTGTTAAATGGAGCAAAGAAATGCTCAAGAAATTCAACCGAGGTCGGTCAAATTTGGTCTACAACATCGTTGGGGACGAAACATCGATCTATTCATATGAGCCCGAAAGTAAACAACAATCCACTGTTTGGGTATTTCAAAATGAACCGAAACCAACAAAAGTTGTTCGCTCACGCAGTGCTGCCAAGCAAACGATTGCTTGTTTCTTCGGTTATACCGACATGTGACAACCGTGGCTTTAGAGGATCGAAGGACTGTAAATACTGATTAGTATACAACAATTTGCCAGAAGTCATAAATGAATTGCGTAGAACAAACCGAAATCGTCGCATCATCCTTCATCATGACAACGCCAGCTGTCACACAGCACGTCAAACTGTTGATTTTTTATCCAGTAATAATGTCGAACTGATGACTCATTGTCCTGATTTATCACCTAATGACTTCTTTTTGTTCCCAAACATTAAAAATAAGATGCGTGGTTACGTCGCCTGAAGCAGCTGTTGAAACATTTCGTACACTGATTTCTGAGATTACAGCCTTAGACTGGAAAAAATGCTTCGAAAATTGGTTCGAGGGTATGCAAAAATGTATCGATCTTAAAGGCGAATACTTCGAAAAACAATAAAGCCATTTATCGAATTTTACAATACATGTTTTTTTTCATATTGTTTGCAGAAACTTTTCCTGCAGCCTACGTATTAAATACTTTAGATCATAGTGTTGACAGACTATGGAATTCTCGACGCTTTAAGAGATCACTTGCAGGTATTTACATAAACTGAGTGTGTTAGCGCGTCGAGGTATAGAATGGCTGGATGGGAAGCAAAGAAAGTACATATGTATAGTGATATGAACAAAAAATTTTTTATTCACAAGTTATTACATCGTTTTTTTTCATACGTATGAAAAACTAAGGCTAACTAAAAACTATAGCTCGCAATCAATGAGCTGATGTCCATTGAAGAAGTTGTTATCGCGTATAGCGTTCTCAGACGTGATATTAGAGAATCGCGTATACTTGACATCAACTGTATCGACAAGTCGGGCTAATTGTTCGAACGATATCGATACATCCGTCAAGTATTATATGTGGCGTAGCGTCGTTTCGGTCATCGTAATGCGTACGGACGAAAAATCAAGACGTACGAGTGTAGCATCGTTTAGCGTGCAAACTCTAACGGTTAGCGGTCCAACGCTTATAAAATTGTCTTTGTATTTATTTCGAAGTTTCTTGTAAATATTCCATTGCTGCTCGTAGAGATTCTTCCACGTTTCGAGAGACAATTCGTGTCCGCGATGATCTCCCAGGGTAATCTCCATGTAACTCGGTGGATCAACGTTGACTCCAATTTTCAAAAATTTGTAACCCGTATTCGTCAGATTGTAATGCCTGCTCAATAAATGCACCGTGCGATGCTCCATGCTGTGTACGTACTGTACATAAAGTTAAAAAAAACGTTTTTTTTTGTATAGAGCGTTGAAACTTACATGTTCTTTCTTTATGTCGTACGATGCGCTGCTCTCTTTGGCGATGTACATTTTCAACTGTTCGTACAAGCGGGTATCGCAAGACTGATTGCATCCGCGTAAATTGTGACATATGTAATAAAATTTCTGAAATCGAAGAGAGGTAGGCACTTTCCTTCTTTCCAAGAATTGCGAACGTATCGCGACACGTTTTATCACATCTTTCTACATATTTTTTTGTCATGAGTTCATACATACGTTTATACATACGTATATTTATACATACGTATATAAGTACGTTCGTGCATACGTTCATGCATGTATTACAATGGAAGGGAAAAGAAATACATAATAAATACATAATAAATACATATTTTTATTTAAAAAATTCTTTTGCAACCACTAGTTATATATTTTCAATACATTTTGTAACGAGTAATTCTTAATATGTTGTTCACATCGCATAGTATTAGCAACGTCCAGATTAGTTAAAAATTCCATGTCTTCGTAAACTGCATCCAAGGTCTCATACATGTGTTCTCGCTCAGAAGCAAGTTTCACAACCACATTCGTTTCTCGCGTTTCTTAACGTACACGATAGCACCGTTTTCAAATGCAGCCGCCGTGATCAGACGTTTCGCCTCGTTGTACGGGACCATCCCGTCCTCTCATCGCAATCCATGGTGATAAGCAATCAACCAGAAAGCGCAAGACCTGTCGGATCTTATCAAAAATTTCCACATTACGAGACTCGTAAAAATATAATGAGTGAGAACGGTCTCCTGTTTCAGCACCGCCACTTTCTTCACGATAAATTTCTTGTTAATGATGAATCCTTGCAAATCCACGTTGGCATGGGCATGTTGTCGCAAAGACTGCGGTCGATTGCGGCATATTGTAGATTTTATATCGTGTCGGAGATGCACTTAGGTGATTATGCGCACAACGTTGATCAATGGATTATACTAAACCACGCGATCGTGTATAATGTGACAATAGGCTGTTGTATTTGCGGGCACGTTCTCCTTACATTCAAAATCTAATCGCAGTCCATGGTGCCACTCTCGATCGATTCATTCTGTCAAGAGCAATCGATGATCACAAACGGGACATTACGAAAAGTTGTAAAGGTGAGACTCGGCTCGAGATATTCGTATCCGTACTAGCCCTTGCAGACACGCGCGTACAAGTCGTACAGAATCGCACATCTGTTTTTATCAAAATCCAGATTCAAGTCATCGTACAGATAACATTCCGAATTCAGGTAGAGTTTTGCATTGATTAATTTGCAGTCGCCGACTTATATCCTCTGACATAACGTTTTTTTTTACCTATTTGCATAACAAAAATGACGTAGCGCGGTTTTTCGAGCTAAGTCTTGATGGCCCACGAATGCTTAGTTGTGCTCTACAAGAGCGGAAACTCGTACAGATCCCACGAGCGAAAAGCCATGCTCAGATAACGTCTGCTCTCCACAGCGCACACCATCGACAGCTTATTTATCTCACTCAATAACACGTGCGGCATTTGCCACTGTACTTTGAATAATTCGAGCGTTGGCTCCGTCGCCGGATTTCCCGTCAGACAATTGTTGTCGTTGCGCGATCGTATTAAAATCAATTCGTTGATCACCACGCGTTTGTAATCTTCCCAAAATCCCAGCAGTACATAGAGAGATACACAGAAATTAAAATATCCAGCCGCAATAATATGTCGGCATCCCAATCGGCGTTCCAAGGAACCACGCTTCTGTTGGATGACATTGTTACATAGTTTTTGAGCATGCTATTTGCCCACGTTTCTGTTACGGTCAATTTCCACACCGTTGAGTTCATATCGAATCTCATCGAATATAAACGTGACACAATTATTTCCCAATGCCACGTTAGCATACCGAACCACTTTGTTCTTCGTCAGTTTTCCCTTGACGTATAGAAAACTACGGCAGTATGTACAGACCCTGTTGCTGTATAGGTATTCTTATCTCATAGGTATACTCGAACGTTGTGTTGGCCAACGGGTTGTACGTGTGAGTCTCAATCTTGACGATGCGATCGTCAAAAATCGGCTCGTCTTTCATATTTAGGTCATCTCAAATGTTGCGCATCGCGAATCCCAAAGAAAAATGTAACGTTCTACGAACTGAACTTCTTCTTCCTGATGCAGCTGTATGAGCGAGTGTTATTGAGCTGTAATGTCGCAGACCTTGTAAAGAATGCGTTATCTCTCTGCGTGCGCTCCATTCCGTTCAGCACGAACATCTCACGCTCACGTTGTTACTGTCGCCGTCATACGTGCAATCTAACGGTGATCTCCTCTGCGGGAAAATCGAGCAATCATCCGTTCTGGTTGATGATGCGTATTGTTAGATCCGTAATCGTGCGATGATCGGCACTGGCCGATGATCTGCGCTGGCCACTCCGATATCTTATATCCTGGCGGCACGCTCGTTAAAAATTCGTGTATCGTGTGCGCGCTTTTGCTGTACACTCCCTCGGTCACGTTACACTCTACGCGGATAACGTTTACATTTATTATATTGATCGACACGTCCGATTTATTCCATCTTCGTGGTCGCAGTATACGTTTTGACGAAAATCCCAACAGCGATCCAATGTTGTTGGGCTGGCCAAAGTTCTGTATGCACATTTAATCTCGCATTTC